GGGCCCCGGCTTCGGGCTTGCGGCTTGGCTCTTCTACGTCGGTTTTGTCACGCGACATTCAAGAAGGTTCGCATCTACATCGAGCCCACAACTGTCGCTTCGGGAACGTTTCAGTGGTGGCCGGCCGGCGTTTCGTGGTGCTTCAGCCTGCGAGAGCCTGCTTCAGGGGTTAGGCCCGGTTAGGCTCTGTGTCTCGCACTTCTCAGGAATTTTCCCGTGGTGGTCTCAACTTCAGCGCCGATCAACACAGAGTGGTATGTGGCTTGACAGGGAAATGAGGGGAGAGGTCTCGACCTGCGTGCTTACTGACAGAACCTGGTGCAGGTGCTTCTGTGCGTTGACTACAACTGCCAAACCTTCAGCTGCCGGACTGATGTTTACAAAGGGGTCATGTCCAGTTGGATTTTGCCACCAAGCTCCAGCGTTTAAGCTGTCTAGTCGTGCCTCACGCCAACTTTTTGTTTCGCAGCTTTCCTTGCCAACTTTACAGGCAATATGGATGGACCCCGGTTTCTCCTTGCTTACATCTCCTGCTACTTCAACAACAAAGGGTATCGAAGTCTGCCAGCAGGTGATGAGGAAGGCTCCACTAAAGAAGGTTTTACCGTTTTGAGCATGCAGGCCTGCATCGGCGCTGACCCTTAGCCCCACATCTGAGCCGATCCTGACACAGCTGTGAAGCTGGAGCGAGGCGACCCTTCGGTGATGGCGATGTACCACTCTCAGTGGGTTTCTTAGCGTCGTCATGGTGCCGAATCTCTGACCATTGTCTGATCAGATTTCCGGTGCCGGACTTCCAACCGAAGATTCCAGCCAGAACTCCAGCAAGCTGGATAACCACATCAAGCGCAGCTATGCAGCCTGCCTTATTTGTAAGATTGCGTTTCCTACACAAGCCTGTGCCCACCATTTGGCGCTTTCCGTAACCGTGGCAGGTCGGGAATGGCACTGACTCTGCTGTGCTTGCATCTCAGAGTCACAGACTGCCATAGACTGCTTGATCGGATGAGGTTTGCGTTTGACTCTGCCTGATCCCCGTGGTCATTCATGTGACCCTGCCTGGTTTGCCCGCAGGCTGCTCCCTATCACTCGCAGAGAAGTTCTTGTAAGCGAGACCTGCCAAGCTGTACAGCCGGCGTCTTTGCATGTCGCAGACTTGGCACCAGGAGGGAAGGCTTCCTGACGAGGCACTGCTTAAGTAGCTAGCAAAGAATTCGTGATTTATTTATGACTGACTTCGGGGAAGATGATCCACACGTGATCCGCACCCCCAGCGGCAGGCAATGTGCTGCCCACCAATGCGAACTTCAGATTCGCCAAAGACAACGACGCAGCTCGCGTGTTCTTCAAAAGAGCTACGGCGAGTGAATTCGGACCTGCTGGTGGGACTCACAAATGAGACCCCGGTAGCAGAGAGCAAGGATCAAGGATCGGGCAGACACGCGCACAAAGATACCCAAGCATATCTCCGGGCCACGTTTCATGCTGAGTCTAGTTGCAGGCCCGAGAGTCGTGGCTCCTGCAAGAGCATGTCGAGTGCAAAGTTCCCCCTTTGGCCTGGGTGGGCTTTCAGTCAACCGAGGATTCCTGGTGGGCGTAGCCTCTGCCTCAGACACCGTATGCCGTGTGGGCGGACGGCTGCAGTTGGTAAGATGCTGCGTAGTGCGTAGTGGAGCTCTCACAGCCGAATCCAGGCTATGATGGGCTTTGGGCCAACACGACGTTCGAATCCATGGGGGTACACCCAACGCTGGCCTGCCTCCTAATCTTCCGCTTTCCTGCCGCTTGCTGCCTTGACACCATGTATTCTTGATCATCCGAAAGCGTTGCTTGTCGCTCCTAGGTGTCCGCCATGGCAGTTCACGATATTCTGCGGCCAACCCTGGCAGCTGCCTGAGCTCGAAAGCCGCATTGCGAGGGCCCCCGTCAAGTTCTGCCGGCTGAGGTCCAAGAGCGGGCGGGGTACTGAGAAAGCTCGGAATTGCTGCAGCTTCGTGATGCCGCAAGCGGCCTAGTAGTCGTAGGGTCGAAGCCGTTTGAATGGTCCGAGCATGGCGGCACGTCCGACATTGAAGGTTGAGGGCTTTCGGCTTAGACTGCCAGAGGTTATTCGGCCATGGATAAGACTAAGATGGCGAAGACAGACTGCGCCAGAGAGCGGGACAGAACAGGCAGAAAATGGCATTAGATGGCTCTCGTGCACGTAAGCGAGACTACGCCTGCAGACTCGAGCATGAATTTAATATTGTTAGCGGCGATCCCTTCACAGTGTCCATCTCGCCTCGGCATATGCACGGCCGCAATTTTTCAGTTGCGATGTCTCGTCAGGCTTTCGGTCCCATAGTGAAAGGACGAGACGTTATCCTGCGCTGGTGCCTCAGGGGCAGTATCAGGTCCGGTTCTGCACTCGTCAGTAACACTAGAATCCGCTAGAACTCGGCAGAGCGACAGACATCGCCAGAGGTGCGGAGACGGGCTCAGGAAAGACTCTGGTAGGGGCCCTTGGTGCTGTCTTTCGTGGTGGCCGCAATGGACTGCCTCCGTGCTCAGGCCTATCTTCTGCCGCTGGTGAACCGCATCTACCATCTTCATGCCCGCCCCTCGGTGATTGCGGTTCCGCCTGTGCAGCCCTAGACCCCACGGGGCAGTCTTAGCCTTTCCAGCCGAAGCCGAATGACCAGGACAGAGCCCGGCAGGCGGCTCAGGATCCTGATGCCCCGAACCCTTTGCAGAGCCGGGGCCTCGTTTCAAGACACAGAGGATGTGTCGCCCGCTCCGCAGCTGGCCCGCAAGAACAGAAAGGTAAGCACAAACACATGATGCGGTAAGGGAGTTGCTCCAAACAGAGTATCTAGGGGTTCCCGAGCGGCTTTCTGAATCAGAACGCTGGACAGGCTATCACAGAGGGCCGAAGCAGATGTGGGGGGGGGGGGGGGGGGGGGGGGGGGGTGGGCGGCGAACAGGATCCGTGACTCGTTCGTTTCAGGCTCCAATGCCCCTGTCCTACTTACAGCGCTTGCTGCGTCGTTTTGCGTCTATCTCATGTACAGCGGTTGCTGTGTGGCCTTGTAGCTATCCTGTTTGCAGCAGGGCTTGCTGCGTGGTCTTGCTTCTATCTTATGTACAGTGGTTGCTGTGTGGAATTGCCCCTATCCTATTTGCAGCGCTTTCTGTGTGGTCTTGCTTCTATCTTATGCACAGCGGTTGCTGTGTGGCACTGCCCCTATCCTATTTGCAGCGCTTTCTGTGTGGTCTTGCTTCTATCTTATGCACAGCGGTTGTTGTGTGGCCGTGCCCCTATCCTATTTGCAGCGCTTGCTGTGTGGTGTGGCTTATATCTAATGCACAGCGGTTGCTGTGTGGCAGCGCCCCTACTGTATCCTATTTGCCACGCTTGCTGGGTGGTCTTGCTACTATCTTATGTACAGCGGTTGCTGTGTGGCATTGCCCCTATCCTATTTGCAGGGCTTGCTGTGTGGTCTTGCTTCTATCTTATGTAGAGCGGTTGCTGTGTTGCATTGCCCCTATCGTATTTGCAGCTCCTGCTGTGTGGTGTTGCTTCTATCTAACGTACAGCGGCTGCTGTGTGTCATTGACCCCATCCCATGTGCAGCGCCTGCTGTGTGGGTCCTGCTTCTATTTTATGTACAGCGGTTGCTGTGTGGCATTGCCCTTATCCTGTTTGCAGCGCTTGCTGTCTGGTCTTGTTTCTACGTCTATCTTATGTACTGCGGTTGCTGTGTGGCACTGCCCCTATCCTATTTGCAGCAGGGCTTGCTGCGTGGTCTTGCTTCTATCTTATGTACAGTGGTTGCTGTGTGGCATTGCCCCTATCCTATTTGCAGCGTTTGCTGTGTGGTCTTGCTTCCATCTTATGCGCAGCGGTGTGTGGCATGGCCCATTATCCTGTGTGTAGCGCTTGCTGTGTGGTCTTGCTTCTATGTTATGTACAGCGGCTGCTGTGTGGCATGGCCCCTATCCTGTTTGAAGCGCTTGCTGCGTAGTCTTGCTTCTCTGTTATGTGCAGTGGTTGCTGTGTGGCATTGCCCCTATCCTATTTGCAGCGCTTGCTGTGTGGTCTTGTTTCTATGTTATGTACAGTGGTTGTTGTGTGGCCTTGCCCCTATCCTATTTGCAGGGCTTGCTGTGTGGTCTTGCTTCCATCTTATGTGCAACGGTTGTCGTGTGGCATGGCCCCTATCCACAGTTGTTGCTTTGTGGCATTGCCTATATCCTATTTGCAGCGGTTGCTGTGTGGCATTGCCCCCATGCCAGTTTACAGCGCTTGCTGTGCGGCTTGGGGATTATGCTGTTTTTCTGTGCTTGCCGTGTGGCTTGGTCCTTCTGCTGTTTCCACAGCTTGCTTGGTGACTGGCTAAACTTCAAACTTTCAGTCTTTTGGGCCCGAAGCCCTCAAAGCTGAGGCTTCGTCACGTTTGTCCGAGTTGCGAGAGCGTAAAAGCTGAGCCCTAAACAGCAGACCCTGAACCGTTGGAGTCTCAACCCGGGGCCGGTTGGTCTTGCCTGTGAGCCGAGTCGGCACTGCCCAGGATCCGACTCCCGCACCCCAAGATCTGATACTGGAGATTTCGTCTGCACTCCCCAGATTACGCTCTGATGATCAAATTCGTGTTGCTGCCGGTAGTCTTAACTCGTTGTCTCGCTAAGTGGAGGCAAAGAGTTCAGTTTGACCCAGGAAGCCGTCCTTGGGTCGTGCCAGAACCTTAGCCTGCAAGCCTCATCCAGTCCTTATATTCCTCATGGCTTACCATGCAGGGTAGACCGAGGCTGACTCCGACGAGCGATCTTGCAGCTCAGGCCAAGATGTCCACGGTTACGGCATGATCGAAGATGCTCGAGTTTGCACTGCTCCGAGTGTCGGTGCTCGGTTGCCAGTCGGCTTACGTAACATCCGCTGAGTGGTACGAAGAAATAAATACCACCCGCACCCAACCAGAGCAACTGAAAATATTGCCCTGCCCTGTGGACTGTGTGGAGCCATGGAGTCTCCGGGCAGTCGCGGAAGGCCATGTGTTGATGTGCTGTGCTGGTTTCCAAGTGTCGTTTGCTGTGGGGGCTTGTGGCTCGTGCCTTTTTTCCCAGCAGCTGCAAGGGCCTTGGGCCCATCCGCGCTTCGGGCATTTTGGCATCGAGGACTGTGCGTCAGATCAGGGCCTTGGTGAATCCGGGCTGGAGCTGCAGCAGGATGGCCACGGGCGTCGGCAGTGGCCATGGCTACCCTCATGGCTGGGACCTGCTTCCAGGACTGTTTGGCTTGTCTCTCATTTCTCCAATCTCTCGAAGAATCGTTGAAGAGGGGGGGTGGCAACCAAACTTCCATGTGGACGTCGGCTGGGGTTGGCTCTAGCTGCAGGTTTGGGAAAGAGCTTGCTTTCGGCAAGTCCCAGTGTTCAAAGTGACATGATATCTCGGCGCAGCAGGCCCGGGCATGGTGGAGGCGACCTAGCATTATGACTACCAGAGAGGTGACTATCAAGGCCTCTTTGATTTCTCTAATGTGCGCGTTTGAAGGGATGATTCCTCGTCATAAGCCTAGCTCTGAGCGCCTTGGGGCAGGCTATGAGCTCACGCCACGCTGTTGCAGTTGGGCAGCCCAAAGGCGAGACATGGCAACTCATTGAAACAGCAGGAAGCCATGGTGGACTCGGTGGACTTGTTGAGGCATCTCCATGGCAGGGCAGACGTTTAGCACCATGACGAGGCGGTTGTGCTTGCTAGTGCTATGTTTACTTTCTGACTTGTCTATCTGGTGACCATGATCTGCTGTGCTGGCAGAAGCTATTTCGATGATCGTGCCTGCTGCCAGTATCCATGATGGAGGTGCTGCAGAAGCATGATTGATTTGAAGCATCGCTGACAGGACTGGTCTTGGCCTTCGTGCGTTTGGACCTATGTATGCGGTTGCAGCCTGGGCTGCACGAGATTGTATCTACTATGTGAGATTGTATTTACGGTCGCTGATGTGGTAGGGTCTTTTCCACATTTTGTGTGCGCATGCCTTGCCCCTGGTGTAGGAAGCTCCGTCGACGCCAGATGCGGCTGTTATCTGGCTCCACGGTCTGGGTGACACCGGAGAGGGATGGTCAGACGTTGGACCACAGTTGCAACAGCAGCTGCGCTCGGCACCTTGCTCTGCCAACATGGTGCCATGTGCTTGTCAGTGCTTCCAAGACTTTCGGAAGTCAAGCTCTTTTCTTGGGGGAAGCAGCTTGGAGTGTGAGGTGCGTTTCCTGTTTCCCACAGCTCCCACGCAGCCATCGCCTCGTCTGAGCAGCAGACCACGAGTTCGTGCTTGCCTTTGACTTCTCCGAGGCCGGTGACGGTGAACATGGGCATGTCGATGCCCAGCTGGTTGGGATCTCAGAGCAGATGTGTCGATTCCGAGTTTGGTGTTTGTCAGAAGGTTTGACATCAACAGCCTCGATCCACAGCTTTTCCGGCGAAACCCACCGGGCCTCGCGGAAAGTGCGGACTACGTCCGGCAGCTCATCAAGGACCAGCTGGACCACGTTGCGGCGATTTGCGCTCGATCGAACTATCGAACCTGTATGGGAGGAGCAAATCGAAGACGGAATAGAGCCAGGGCGCATCATCTTAGCTGGCTTCTCTCAGGGAGGTGCTGTGGTTCTGGAGGCCGGGCACATCCCATCAGGAGCAGTCAAGTTGTGAAGTGTGGCTCAGGCAGCTTTGGGTACCACGGACTTCGCCGTGGGTGGCATACTTGTGCTGAGTTCCTTCCTCGGGACGGAGCTGCCGGTGCAGCTGCCCAGCCCAGTGCCCGCCATCCACTTCTTCCATGGCCAGGCCGGGCCTTGGTTTGCGGCTTTTTCTCTCCTTGCTGGGAATGGGGAGGGGAGAGGGGAGGGCTGCGCGCACGGCAGGCGGATCAAGTGGTTCCCATCTCCTGGGGCGAGCGCAGCCTCGCGGAGCTCAAGGCCGAGCCGGACCGCACTGGGCGGCGCCTCTTCCCTTCTTCTCTTCTTCTCTTCTTTTCTCTCGTCCCCTAGGACTCTCGGTGCGTCTGTGTTTGGAGGGTCGTCCCGCGAGGCCAATGATATCCATGCAAGCTTCAAGGCTTATCCCGGCATGCAGCATTCAGCCTGCGCAGAGGAGCTGCCTGGCAGCAGTCAGACTGACACTGAAGACTGCTCTGCCTGGCATCTGGTGGGCCTGCTGTGCCTGGTGTGGTGGGCCGGATAGACGGATGAGGAACTTCGGCTAAATGCCATGCCTTGAGCAAACTCCAACCGATGCTTGCCAAACATCAATATGAGTACCTTCCATCTTGCCCGTTGACTCCTTCTTGAGATGGTGTGAAGATGCACAACAGCAACAAGAGCCACTGAGCAGAAGCCTTTTGGAATTGGAGAGGCTGCAGAACCAAATGCAAGCAGGGCCCAACGAAGAAAGCACATGGCAGACCATCTATGGAAGGGGGAGAGATGGAATTCGAAGGAAGTTGCTGGCTTTTGCGGCCTTCACTGCTGTTGCCTCGTCGCTGGAGTCGCCGAATCAGATGGTACACCGTGAGGTGGTGAGCCAAAGAGGCTGAAGCCGTGCTTTCGTACTTGCGGGCTAAGGCTTCAAGACATTGCCGCGGCCCTCACGGCTGTGTTGGCCGGACGGTAGCATCCTGATGCAAAAGAATCCGCCCAGAAAAAGGTGCTGACTGGCGCCCTATCGGTCACGACGTTTTGAAGTTTTTTGTAATTCTTACTCGTGGGATCAACGGCAGGTGCTGGCCATGCTTGAGGCCATAGACTGCAATCGATTGGTAAATGCCCAGTGGCAGTCCCGGTGTCCCTTCAAGAGGTTGCAAGACTGAGCTTGAGTGACTGGAGGTCGCTAACACAGCTGTTCCGTTGGGAGGCGGTTAGACCAACAGGCCGTGCCTCCCATGTTGAAATCCTCAAATTCAGAGCGAGTGATGCTGGCTTGTGCTTTTTCGATTGTGCTGATGCTGTGTCAGGGTCACTGCTGAGGGAGCAGGCCAGCTGGAATGGTTGAAAGCCTGGAGCACGCATGAGCTGCAAACTAACCGAGCTCGGAGCTGGTGCTGCCCCAGATGCCATCATCATGCTGACTTATGCTGCCTTGGAGGACAGCTTCGCTAGCAGTTTCCAAGAGCCTCGCGCCAAGGACCTGGGGTAAAGGCACTCTGTCATGCTTTTGCTCCTGCCGTACGTGCGCCTGGCTCCAAAAGTTTTAAATTTAGCTTTGATGACTATCTTTTCTTTCTTCTTCTGCTGTCTGCTTTCTGCAGCCGTGGGAAGTTTGTTGCGATGAACACGGGCCTGGGTGTAGATCGCACTGTCAACAGGACTAATTAACGTGACCTGACCAGCATGCCACGCTCATGAGCCGCAAGCAGCTCATGCTCTGCACGGATGCCTCTGAAAAGGAGCGGACAACCCTGGTTGCCACGCCTGGGCAGAAGCCATCGCAAGAGTCACGAGGCCCAGTGCAGTTTCTCAATTGTCACAAAGCCAAGCAGCACGATGAGCAATGTCAACAGTCCGTAGGTTCGGGATCCGCTGCCTACGTCTCTTCATCGCCTCGCATCCGCTGCGGCCCAAAGTTCTCTGTGCTTCAAGCATTGGGAAGTGGCGAGTGATCTTATACGACACCGGCCGCACATAAACATTGTTATTTGCAACTCGTGTTCTGAAGACTTGGGTACTAACCTTTGCCACAGAATTGGCAACACACCGCAACCCAAGCCCTGCGGCAAGGTCTGTTTCGACCTGGTAATACTCAGAACTCAGAGGTGCATGGACATGTCTGGCAGAGGTTGGGGCTCAACGGACATCGTGGTTACAACACCACTCAAGTTCTGCATGCTACTCAGGCAAAGTCGAAACTGCCTTTGGTGGGGTGGGCACCTGGATCTGGGACTGTGAGGTGAAGAATTGGCGCATTTCAAGGAGGACGGTCTCTTCCCAGCCTGTGTGATCATGGACGAGGCCAGCTAAGCATCAATTCAATCTGCTTCATATCGGCTTCGGGTTTCTCGGGTGCTCAGGCCGATGCCCTCTTCCAAGGTTTCACGCGCCGGCATCTCGAAACAGACCCTATCGGCCCTAGGCAAGGGGAGCCCTTGAACAATTTCGCGCTTGCCCGCTGAGGTGTGTATCTTTTCGAGATCTTTGGGGCCCTCCGACCTCGCCCGAAGCCTCGTCCTCGGTTCCAGGGACTCGCAGCCGCTACGAAAACCGTGTAGAGGAACACGACTACTAGCACTGTTAATGTCAGTTTTACTATTCTGTTGCAATAAGTAGGGCTAAGGCTCGTACCTTTGCTATTTGTTGTACCAGTTGTTACACCTACACATTCGTTTATAGTATATCATGTCATGCTAAAGTTATCTTAGATTGTGTTGTTTCGCAAAATACTGCGTTTCCATCTGTTCTGTTCTATTCTTTTTTGTTCTATTGCAATGAGTAGTATTCCCGGTGCTATCATGTTTCATAATGTCAAAAGGCACCCTATCACACGTTGTTATGTTTTATCATTTCTTGTTGTATTGCATGGTGCCTGTATGATATGCAGCAGGCCTTGGTACTTATAATGTAATACATTACAGCGTATTATGTGATTTTGTGTCGTCTTTGTAATATTGCACCTTGCTATGTTATGTCATCGTATGTCCTACGGTTTACTGTGCTATATTGTATAACTATACATCATATCTGTACTTTAGTTGATCACCATTTATCGTGCTGCTATTGGTGTTTATACACTATATTGTATTTTCCGGTGCTATTCCACGTTAAATCATTATTTTGTTGCATACAGTACCTGATTGTATGTTGTACTGTACCATGCAATATATGATGTTTCGACATGGCTTATCCCATTACATGGTATTTGCATTGCATCGCACTAGCCTATCTTATGGATGTTATGGTGTGCTCTGCTGTGCTACGTTTTGTATTGCAGAACGTTTTCAAGTATGACATAATATGTAAGGTAGCTTTTGTTATGAGGCGTCGCATTATAGTATGTCTGGCCTTTTTAAAAGTTGTTATGTGCTATGTCGTGTGATGCTAGGCCTTAGTTTGATATATGATATCAGACCATGTTATATTGTATCATGTCTGCTATTTTCATCGATTTCATTGGCTTTGTTATTTGTTTCGTTTTATACAATAGTCGTGTACCTACTGAGTAATGTTACGCTACGGTATGATAGGTTCTGTTGTGCTATTCTGTTACTACATGCATTGTGTATCACAGTGTAACATGATCTACTACAATTTGACGTCATATTAGAGTAAGCCGTATTGTAGTATTGCATATTGGCATATTGCGTTATGCCATTAAAATATAGTGTGGATACGGTCATGGAACATGACACAGCATAACTTGACATCGCGCTTGGTGCCCCAAGCCTGGGATTGCACGGCGAGCGGGAGAAAACCTGCGAGAGAGAAAAGGAGAGGGAGAGAGAGAGAGAGAGACAGACAACTAGACCTTGACCAGGAGCAAGCAAGCAAGCAAGAGAGACAGACGACCAGCATTTGTCCAGCATGTTACAAGAATTGCTGCAGAGGGGCCAAATCGAGTTAGCTGCGAACTACAGACTGAGAGACCAGGGTGCGTGCGTGCACGGGGACGGTGAGGAACTGCCGTGTCTTGGTTGTGTGGAAGAAGAAGCGAGATAATATGACATAGTGTACCATATATCACAATATCATGTTAAAGTTTACTTTGCTAAACCAAACCATATTATGTTGCACTGCACCGCCTTATGTTGTGTTCGATTGCATCACATTTTCTTTCACTACATTACACAACCTCGTGTTATGTTACCGGTTTACTATGGATAGATCACTACGTATGATTATCAATAGGGCTATTACGGCTGCGATTACTATCACTATTACTACATTACTGTTCATTACTAACCCTCTTACCATTAATAGCATAGTTTCTATTTGTTTGTTTCTACTTGGTTTGATAGTTCCTAGATACTTTGATAGTTCGTAGTCACGTTCACCTAGTAGTATTAACGGTTTTTGTACCAAATACCCATACAAAATACTAAATGATAAAACCAACACCAATACTTAAACGCATACGAACACGAACGATTCAACATGCCAATGCCAGCACTAGTACCAATACCAAAACCAACACGAGCACGAAACATTAGTACCAAACTATTACATAACGAACTGAGACACGCGAATTTCGAATTACTAGCTACTCTTGCTGGTCTTGTTATGGTCAGGATTCGACAAGCAGACGAGGAGAGGCAGCGTCTTCCAGACATGATTCCGACGCAGCGCAGGGCTCAGATTCATGGCCACTGTGGGTCCAGCAACAGCTAAAGTCACATCTTTCTCGGCAGGTTTGTCTTTTCAGTTGGAGCCTTAGCACCAAACCCATCTTTCAGTAGAGTTTACCGCCTCTTCCCGGCGCAGGCGGCCACGATGGTGCATGTCGGCCCGTTCAGTGAAGGAAACATGTTGAGGGCCCGCCATGTTTTGCCAGACTACCAGGCAGTGCAGACTATCGGTTGCGCTTGGCTTGTATTGGACCTCTGAACTTTGTAGCTACAAAGCTACAGACGTGGTGCAGGGGGTTTCCAATGCAGCTGTTTGCAGCCACTCTTGGCTCCGACAAAGCCGAGGAAGCTTAGTGCTGGGGTAGCTGGTAAGTCCAGGCCGACTGCTCTCAGATGACGTTGATGTGAACTTGAGCAATGTCACCTCTTGATGCCGACTGTGGATGAAGGAGATGTTGGCATGCGAAGTGAGGTCCCGCAGGCATATCCCGCTCAAGTCTACAATAGTCCCGTGTGAGGCCCATGAATCGTGGGTTCCCCAGTGTACTGCGGTTTGCTGGCTCGGCTTTTGTGTGGAAGTCCTGAAGTTTTGATCTGATGCAGCCATTTGTGATTTTCAGCAGTTCAGACAAAGCTATGCATTGAAGGCCATGCAGCAGCCAACAGATGACGGCGATGCACAACAGGGTGAGCTTCCGTGGCTCAGCTGGCACAGATTCTTGAAAGAACCGGTGTGGTGGTCATGTGGTGATTCAAGGACAGTACGGACTGCCGCCCGTGAGTTTGGACTTCTCTTGGCGGCATGTCCGCACACAACGACCCGTAGATTCCTTGCTGGTTCGGTACCGCCACTTCAAGTTGCCAGCGACACTCCCAAGTCCTTGGCAGGACATGAGCCCAGGCGTGTAGGCGGCATGTTCAGCAGCAGAACTGACGGCCATACGGCGTCCTTTCTCTTTTGATGATCATGTTGCAGCACGGAGTACAGAATTTCTGAAGCAAGGAGTTAGCACAGCTCATGTACATGTGAGGTTTCAGTAGTTCTGCTGTCTTTTGACGAGCTCAACCCGGTGAAGGCTGGATGCGGACACGAGATCCCGTAGACCCTCTGCAAATGACCGTGCAGCTGTGGGGAGGTGTTATGCAGCTACACAAGCTGGTTCATGGGCTTCTCCGAGGCAGATTGGAGCAACCACTGTTTGGGAGTCGTGCTCACTTCGCAAAAAATCCCGCAGGTTCACCTGGGAATTTTCGCCAGTCTGTTATTGCTTGCGCTGGGAATCAACCAGCGCGACCATATTCTATACAACTGCGCGAGGACAGTGCTGTTTGCCAGGTCTGCCCCACCAGACACAGCTCTCGGAAATACCGCTATCGCAGCATGTCTGTGTGAAGGATCTTTTTCAGGTGCACGTTCAACAACATATTCTTCCGATCCGTGGAGATCGTGGGCATGGAAAATCTGCCCAAGGACAGGCACCGACATCAATGCCTTCAGACGGCAAGTGCCAAGGCAAAGGCCAAACCGCAGAAACTAGTGTGGACCTTGGCTTCAGGAAGGTCCTGTGATCATCACCGGAAATCACAACAACCAGCGGCTTGATTGAAATTCTGCGATGGTGCCATCCATGATCTATGTGGTTCGGCATTGCAGATTGTGCGTATAGAATCGAGAAAGCCTCATGCGCTTGTCCATGCTATTCTCATGCTGCAGCCCGATATCAGCAGGTTTGTTGATGGCTTGATGCTGTTGACAAACTGCCCGCGTGAGATTTCCTTCATGATTGCGCAGACGCCCGGCTTCTATGCAGTGAGCTTTAGTTTGTTTTGCAGTGACTTCAAGGGTCGACAAAGTGCCTCTGTCATCTCCAAGCCTTCCTCTGTGATGGGCGACCTGCGTGTTCGGATGTTGGGCATCTCCCAAGGAAATCGTACGATCGACCATTCGTCGGTTTTCTGGCGCAGCTTGGATCTGCTAAGCCTTGCAGCCAGAAGATGGCATCAGCTACCAACCACAAAGGTGCCTTAAGTCCGACACAACTCTGCAGACCAAGGCGTGCTTTTCACTGCATCCCAGTCGCACGGCCGCAGGCGCTGCTGACCGAGTCCTCACTCGTAGCTTGACGAGAGGGCGCCTGGACTCCATGCAAGAGCGTTGGACCGCGTCCAGGATATGGCCTATACAGGACAGGGGACGATAAAGCTGGAACAAGGCTCAGCGAAAGTGCCGCTTGGCTGCAAAAGTGTGACTGGCTATATTCACATTTGCTGCAGAGGGTTAGACGTGTTCGGTTTGACTTGTTGTTTTCTCGTCTTCCCTGATCCTTGTACGTGCTCCTGCGTCTGTTATCTTGTCACTTTCGGGTGCTTGTGCTCTTCGTGCTACTTCTGTTGCCGCTCCTGCCGCTTCCGCTGCTGCTTGGAAGCAGCAGCGCAGCTGCTTCCGCTGCTGCTGCTGCTGCTGCTGCTGCTGCCGACTGCTAAGGTAGCTGCAACTCTGGTTTTGCTGCTGCTATTCCTGCCTCGTACAGTACCGGTAACGTGCTGCTGCTTGCAAACATAGAGTTGAAGGTGTGACCATGCATCTCGTAGCTTTTCGCTCTATGCTTTTTGGAGAGGTTGCGTCGTCGGTCTTCTCTTTCCTTCTCCAAGGGTCCTCGAGCGGCTGGTTCGGATTGGCCTGTCCTGGCCATTGTGCGGGGTCACTGAGTTTCTCCGTCTCTTTGGCCTTTGGAGGCTTCTGTGCCGGGGCCCTCACCACCCTTTTCCTCCTCCGTGGATTTCTTTTGCGGCCTTCTGCTCCCTGGACTCCTGAACCGCCCTCTCCGTCTCCTGTGCTTAGGCCTCCTCCCGACTTACGTCTCCGGGCTTACGCTTTGCATGGGCGACGACCTGGCCCGGACCATCGCTGAGGTGCAAGGGGCCCTCGAGAGGCTCCGTCTGTCTGTGGACAATCAGGCAGAGAGGCCTGAGTCTCCTTAGGTGGTGGTTAGACACCCTAGTCCCACCCCTAGAGGTTCTTCCTCAGCCGAGGCCCGCACCCATAGGGTTGGTGGTCCTGGTTTGCCTAGCCCTGAGAGGCGTGCTGACATCCGTGCTCTTTCCCTGCTTGCCCTCCTCACTGTTTGGAACTTTGTGAGAGGCTTGCTCCTGCGAGCCACCTCACTGCCGCCGACCGTGCCCGCCGGGCCTGGACTGCTGGACTGTGGGCCAAGGAGGTTTTGGAGGGCACCGTGGCCACTCCTGATCCCACTCCTGTGCTTAGCTTGCGGCCTACTGTCTACATTGTCTTGCGGAGCGAGAGGCTTGACCGCCCTGCCCGCTTTGCAACCTTCCGTGCCCTTCGAGCCGCGGTGGGCCCACTGGAGGGTACTGACACCGTCTGTCATTCCTTCCCCTCGCTTGCTGAGGGACGCGTCTTTTGCATTGCAGCAGGCATTCCCTTCCCTGCATCGCAATGAACGCAGAGGCTTTAAAGGTAGATGGGGAAAGCGCAGGTACACTCTGCGCTATAAAGTGGCCTCCCGTGCCCGACGTGCCGGACCGTGCCCTTCACTTGCTCTTACCCTTGCTTCGCAGGCCTGGCGCTTTCCTTGCTGCGCTGCCTCTTGTGCTCCTGGAGGATGTACAGAGTCTCTCGACGGGCGAGGCCCTATCGGTCTTCGGCCCTTCCGTCGTGGTGTCTGTGCCGGCAGTGGAAGAGGGAGATCTTGGGGAGGATGTGGCAGCAGGCTACGACATACAAGTGATCCTGCTGGACTTGGACGAGTCCCTCCTTTCCTTTATGGGCCCTTTCGATCCTGTCACAGAGCCGGGGCTGGTTGTTGGTTTCGAGCCTGCCGCCCCTCACGTGATGCCGGCGCCAGAGGATCTCATGAAAGCCGCTGTCGATTGGGTGAGTGGAGATCAAGCCCCAGGCCTCGCTTATGTTACCGCCCAAGAGGGCTCGGAGGGCCACGAGGATGCTCAGCCGAAGAGGGCTGCGCGTGCCAAACGCGTCACCACGGCACAGCTGGCCGAACAGGTGAACCAACTTGCTTCTGTGCTGCCCGGTCTTGTCGAGCAGGTGAGGCTCGTGTCAGAGCGACAGGCGGCCCAGGCTTCGGCTCCACAGCCGCCGGCTGCTCCGCCGCATCAGCAGAACTTCCCACAGCTCGGCCCGACGCCTGCTCCTCAGCCTGCCCCACTTGCAAGTCTGGCCGCTGCCCTGCCTCCTCCTGCCCGCTTGGGGTTGGCTCCGAAAACGGCGCCTGCGCCCGCCGCTCCTGCACCGGCCGCTGCGCCAAAGTCCTCTGCCTTGCCAGCCTCCTCGGATCAGCTAGCCACAGCCATTGCTCAGCAGGGTCAGGCATTGAGTCTCCTAGTGTCGCATCTCGCCTCACAAGGCGAGGCTCTCGACCTGAACGCGGCCACAGCAGGACTGAGCACAAAGGGCTCGGCGAAGCGCGAGAAGCTCCAGCAGGAGCTCATGACCCGCACCGGCTCGTTTTATTTTGAGGTGTGCCAGAATGCCTATCGTCGGCTTTACCCCGCCACCACAGTGCCGGCGACCTTAGCCGAGATGAAGGCAGATGGCAAGCTCAGCTTCGTGACATATATGGAAAGGTTTGGTGGCTACGGCCAGTGCCGCGACCTGGCCCTCGTCATGCATCAGTTGGCGTTCATCGCAGACTGCCTTGTGCAGGACGACGTGCATGGTGCTCGCGAGCACTTGGGGCTTCTCTTGGCATCTACCGAGCAGGCGGCCCAGGATCGCAACTGGTCCCTGGCCCACAGGGGGCTGCGAGCCGCCTTCGGGCTTTCACTCCTTTGGTTTCGGCCACCTGGGGATCCACCGCCCTCTCCTATGTGAAGGAGCTCGACGCCCTGGCTCAAAGGAGAAAGGACACTGTGAGCCCCAAGCAGCCGTCTGCCGATGCCGCCGACGATGGCGCTCCCGCTCCCAAGCGCAGGCCGAGGTACCCACGACGCCCGAAAGATCCACAACAACAGCAATGAGTTTGCTTCCGCCTCCTCCTCTTGGCTGTGAGCCTACGTCCTTTGCACCACGAGCACCACGAACCCCTTCGGATGTGCCCTGCCCTTTGTCTCCGCAGGCTTCCCCGTCGGGCCCTTGCCCCGCAATCGGCAGCCCAGCCGGGCAGCAGTCACAATGTGCCTCCTTTTCTTCTTCTGCCGCCCTGTCCTTTAGACGTTGGGCTTTCTCTTTGGCACCCCGCCTGTTAGCCGGCAAGACGGCTTTCTCGGCCTTTTTCAAGAGAACTCTGCATCTGCGCTGGTGCGGCCAGCCGGCCCCAGCCTCTGTCTTTTTACCTTTGCCGATTCCTTGCCCAGGTGCCTTCCAGCCTTTGGGCCATGCTGGCCAGCGTCGCAGGCAAAAGGTTGCGTGCCAGGTTGCACTTCATGCTGTGGTGGTTGCTGTCAACTTTGTTCACAATGACTGCAAATACGTCCCGCTACGGCTTCTTGCCCGGCCGCCTAATCCTGCCCAGGTTCGCTGCTTTCGCTATCTGAGGGGATTGGTTCAGACTTTCGGTGACGTCGAGGACGGGATTTTCCCTGCCGAGACGGGTCGTCGGATGAATTCGCTTCTCGCTCGCCTCTCGGAGGTCTCTCAGAGGCTTTCGATGCTGGGTCCTCTTGGGGACCCCTATGCACGCGTGCCTGCTGGCATCGAGGTTCCTCAGGTCAACGACTCTCCGGACCTCGAGCCTTACCGCTCCCTTTGTGCTAGCCGGCTTCGTTTGGCCGGCCGTGCCAACTGGGACCCTGGGGACCTCCTCCCGCCCGAGCTAGCCATGGCCTTCGCTCTGCCTTCTTCTTTGCTGAGCGGACGGGTGCCTGCCCCGGAGGAGTACCCTCTTCCCGACCGAGAGTCGGTCCGCGAGACGCGGTCTCTCGCTCTGAAATGGGTTTCGCTTGACTTGCTGCACGTTGGAGCCTGCAGCTAAGCTGCCAGCCTACGAATTCACCCGGGTTTTTAACGCCTATAAAAACTCTGAGGTTGATCGACAGATTGGAGATCGAAGAGGCCGCAATGCCGTTGAGGCCAGACTGCCAGGGCCCTCGCGCTTCTTGCCCACGGCCGATGTCCTTTGCGCCCTGAGCGCTGACGCTAGGACTGAGGCCTTGTGCCTCTCCGTTTCGGATCGCCGAGATTTTTACCATCAAATCGGTGTACCTTGGGCCCGATGCGTCACCAATCGGTTGTACCCTGCTTTCAGGCCCGAGGTCTTCCGAGGAACTCCTGCATGCGATCGCCTTTGTGCTAGGTGCCTGCCTTCCTACACCTCGAGCCCTGGCCTCACCCCTGCCGATGCTCCCCCTTTGGGTTCTTGGCCCTCCTTAGTACAGCCGTGCTTTCGAGCGGTCCTTCAGGGTGACCATATAGGGGTTGAGCTAGCTGTCGCTGGACACCAGCAGCTCCTCATTGGGGCTGGGCTTTTGCGTGAAGAGACCAGGCTGCTGGGAGGCCACCCGGTTGGCCCCGGTCCCGTTTGGGACGCTTTGGTGATTGATGATTACTTCTGTGTTGCGAGGACCGGGCGGCGCAGCCTGCTTCTTGGTGAGCCTTCTGCCTCCAGCAGTGCCTTAGACCGCGCCCTGAATTGCTATGCGCATTCCAAGCTGATCGGCTCACCCGAGAAGGACCTTCGTGACGAGCTGCTGGGAAAAGCAGCCGGGGCCGAGATAAACTCTACGCCTGCAGCCGCGTCGCGGGGACACATTCTTGTGTCCGCCCCTGCCTCAAAGAGGCTGGCGCTCTCCGAGCTGACCTTGGAGCTGAGCACTTTCCCTGCGACTAGTGATTGTCTCCACTCGTGCCTGATGGGAGCCTGGACCTCTGTGGCTTTGTTTCGAAGGCCTGCCGTCGCATGCTTCCAGCATGCGTACAGCCTTTTCCCGGCGAGCTCTTTGGAGCCAAACTCTCCCAAGACCGTGCCGCTGCCGAGGCGCGTCGCTATGGAGTTGCAGCTCATTTCCCTGATTGCCCCTCTTGCTGTCACGGATGTGTCGGCTCCGTATCTCGACCGGCTCTATGCTACTGACTCCTCAGAGCATAAGGGTGCATACGTTTCGGCTGCGATCCCTAGGGAATTGTTTGAGAGCCTTTGGTTATGCTCGGATCGCAAGGGGGCCTACGCTCGGCTTGCTTCCAAGGCCGCTTGCATACTTCATAGAAGCGACCCGCTGCACGAGGACGTTGGTCCTGATCCTTCTGAGGAGCCTGCCGAGGCCCTGCTGCATGCTCCGAGGGCTCTGGCGTACCACTTCGACTTCCTTGAGTTGTCTTTGGGGCCGCCTGCCCTCTCTGGTGAGCTTTCCCGGCTTGGCTTCGCGGTCGGTCCTTTTATCGATCTGCGGCTGTCTTCGGACTGTGGTCTCCCTCGCCTCGTCGTTCTCGAGTGGGCAATGCACCTTGTTGATGCCGGCCGCCTGCTCGGCTTATACCTCGTGCCGCCCTGCTCCTGTGGCCTTCCTTCGGTTCTTGGCGCTCACCCGGAGACCAAGACTACCCGACGTGGTGTCCCTGCCCACTTGCACGAAGAGGAAGCGCTTCGCCTTTGCCTTCTCCTCTTCCGCCATGCCTGCCGACGTGGGATCTGTGCCCTTCTGGAGCTGCCTCGTGAAGCCGCCCCTGTTGGTTCCCGGGCTTGGCGAGACGTTTCGAGGCTGAACAGGTCGATTTGTCCGCTTGTGCTTTCGGCGATGCCCGTCTTCGGAGTCTCTCCTGCCTGGCCTTCGGACTTGACTGCGGCTCACTCCGTAAGGATTGCCCTGGGTGTCTTCGGCATGCCCCTCCAAAGTCGGGTTCCTCCTCCCTTGGATTTCGGCACTGCGCTGGCTTGACCGTTGCTTACGGCCGTGTTTTCAGGGATGCCCTTCGCTCCCTCGCGTCGTGCACCCGGGATGCTGATCTTGATGTTGCTGGCCTGGAACGGCAAGCTGTGAACGACCTCGCCCTGGGCTTGCGTTGGAAGGTCGATTCTGTTTGGACCTGGCCTAGACCGGTCCATATCAATATCCTTGAAAGCTCTGTGCTCTGTCGGCTTTACAAGGAGATTGCGATCACCCATGGTGCCTGCCGCTTTGTCGCATTTTGCGACTCTTTCGTTGCCCTCTCCTCTCTCGGGAAGGGCCGCTCCTCGTCTTCGAGCCTTCGCCACGCTGCGAGACGAGCTTCCATGATCTGTCTCGCCGCTGGCCTCTACCCGGGAAGTATGTACACACCCACCCGGTTGATGCCAGCTGACCACCCTACGCGAGATGCTGAAATACCGCCGCCTGTGATTGGGTTAGGGCAAGACTTTTGGTGCTTTGAGGCTGTGAAACAGGACGCCAGTCGCCCTCGACTTCGCCGCTGGGCCTCCTCCTGGGTTCGACTTGCCCTTCTTCTGCGCCCGAGCCTTGCTTTTGCTCCTGCCAGTGGGCTTGGGCTCGTCGATGCCCACCTTGACTTCAGGGCTTTTGTCCGCACGCAGGGTTTCGACAGTTCCCTTGGTTTCCCTGGTGAGGGGCCCTGCTTTTGCCCCTTTCCGGCGCTTTCGATCTCCTCTTTCTTCCTCGTCGTCGGTCTGCTTGGTCGATCTCCTACTTGTCTTGGCTTCTTTGTCCTCGGCCGCGCTTCAGCCATGGATGCCTCGCGAGCTGCAAAGGGTGACGCTGCGCGCCTCCTTTCTCGGGCTGGAAAAGAGCTAAAGACTGGCAGGCCTGTCCAGAGGACGACGGAGCTGCGGCGAGAGAAGTTGAAGGAGCTCTTTGGGAAGTGGCTGCTTATTTTCGGGCAGTCCTTTGAGTGGTTTCTGATGAGGTCTCGCGCCGACCCAGATTTTGCCAACGAGGTGCTTATATGCTATGGGCAGCATCTTTACAAGACTGGCAAAACCTACAGCAGCTACTCCGAGACTCTCAACATGTTCTCCTCTCATTGTCCCTCCCTTCGAAGACTTCTGCAGCCGGCCTGGGACCTTGCTTTCTCTTGGCAGCGCGACGAACCGCCAGTGCACCACACCGCAATGCCATGGCAAGTGCTCACCGCGGCGGTTGCTGTTGCACTGATCTACGGTTGGGTCGACCTGGCTGGAATCCTCAGTCTCTGCTGGGGCGGCCTGGCTCGAGTTGGAGAAGCGCTAGCTGCCGTCAGGTCTGACTTGGTTTTTCCTGCAGATGTCGGCTCGGTTGGCATCGGCTACCTTCTGATGACGGTGCGTGAGCCAAAGACGCGCTTCAGAGCGGCGCGCCACCAGTCTCTGCGTGTTGACCAACCACAGCTGCTACGAGTCCTCACACTGGCTTTTGGTTCCCTGGAGCCATCCGAGAAGCTCTGGTCCTTCTCAGGCTCCACGCTCCGCAATCGCTTTCAAAAACTGATGCTGGCACTGCGGCTGGGACCGGGCATTGTGCCAAAAGTCAGGGACTTCGATATGGGGTCACTAAGGGCTGGTGGCGCTACTTGGCTGATGGATGCTACAGAAAACCCTGACTACGTACGCAGACGCGGACGGTGGATAACAACAAAGGTCATGGAGATCTACGTTCAGGAGGTGACGGCACTCACCTTCCTTCCCCGCCTCCCAGATGATGTGAAGCAGCATGTTTTTGCATGGGCAGGTGCATTTGCTGCTACTTTGGAGAAAGCTGAACGTTGGCACGAGTTCAGCATTCCCCCTTCATCCTGGAGGTACCTCGCGGCTCACGGCGCTTGATGCATGGTCGGATTGGGAAGATATATGCCAGGACTATGTGGGGGTGGCCGCAAAGTTCTAGCGGAATACCCGCTTCCTAACCTGTGCTACTTTAGCATCAGATGCAGAAAAGAGCGCCTGAAACTCTGCAAACATAGAGTTGAAGGTGTGACCATGCATCTCGTAGCTTTTCGCTCTCCCACCCGGCCTCACCCGCGCCCGTGGCCGCAAAGTTCTAGCGGAATACCCGCTTCCTAACCTGTGCTACTTTAGCATCAGATGCAGAAAAGAGCGCCTGAAACTCTGATTAGCTTTTGCAGCTCTTTCCTCAGTTCAACATGTATAGAAGAGGTGTTTTCGTTTTTTTCCGCAAGTGTTCGGCACACTGGTCATAGAACGAAGTGCAGTAAACGTTCAGGCGCGATCTAGACTCCGTTCATGAAATAGTCGAGTTTTGAAGCTAGCACGTCCTGGTTGGGAGGCAAGGCATCGACACCCACTTCAGTGTAGAGGCCACGCTTTGCTGTTGTCCACACAAATCATAACTCCGCACTGTGGCCTTTCTGCTCGTCACGGCCAGGTGCCTCCCGGCAGCCAGATCAACGTTCAGGGGCATGAAAAGTTGCTGAAGGTGAAGGAGGCCACAGGGCCGCAGCCCGAGCCTCACAGACTTTTATCTGTGACTGCATATGGCGAGGTGCACGGCAACACTGAGTTGACAGTGGATGTGCCGGCTACCTGTTCGGCATCAGCGGCCTTTAAGGTGCACCCCAAGGCACAGATGTCACAGAGCATTCGAAGTCAGTTTCCTAGGACCTAGGACCCTGGAGTGCTCGATGTAGCAGGTCGACCAGTCCGCAATGTACGGACAAGTGTACCCCGTTCTTCATATTGAAGGCCCCTTTGCGAGCAGCGCGGCTTCTGCGGCAGGTACAAAAACTTGTGTTCGGGCAATTGCCTGGGAATTTTCCCTGAAGGCGCAGTTCCGGCAAAATGCCGTTCTGGTGTTTCATGCTCCTGGGCGGGCCAGGTGGAAGCCATGACAGAACAGACCTGCTGCCCCTCAAAGCCGGAGTGGCAGTCATAGCTCTGGAAGCATTGCGTGCTGACCCCAGGGGGGTTCATAACTGCTGACAGCTGCTAGAGCTGCTAGGTATAAGTATCTGCAGGCTTTACAATCCTGGCCAATCTCAACCTGAAAGCACAATGTAGCCACGCGCCCCAAGGGCTTCACCACATCAACGTCCCCATCGTTCCGGTGGGCCTGAACTACTTTCGAGGACACCAGTTTCCCAGACATGACTTACGATTTCATGGGCATCACAAGTGCTCCGCTTCACTGCCTTGCTCGTCTAAGGTTTGGTGGCAGAGTAGCCACCTGCATGAACTGGCCGGATGCAGATCATGGCTTTGGGCTTTGGCGCTTTCCTGACCAGGTCATGGAGTTTGGAGCTCCTTTGATGTCGCAAAGCTGCAGTGGTTCGTTGCGCATGCAAAGATGATCACCGACTTGTGGTTTCGGGCAGCATGCGAGGATATCAGAGGACCCGGGCTCTTTGAAGTGAAGCTGTCGTGCCTGATAAGGGCCATGAACCAAATCACAGCTTAAGCTGCCTGTCAAGGGCCTAAGCTATGAGTCGCTCTGCACCCACCAGCGTTTTGCAAGCCGCAGTGCGTCCATTGTCAGAAGATCCGCTCACTTTTCTACTATGATGTGCTGCAAGTTGACAGAGCGAAGCCTCAGCAAACTGCAAGGAGGTCCACGCCATGTACGAGACCAACCGCCGCGAGGCGACAGAAGAGGTCTTGGACCAGGTGGCCGCCGCCATGCGGAGCGCGCCGTTCTCAGGCTGATGTCAACCTCCGCTGCTGCGATGGAACTCTTTCCCTTGCGATGTTGCAAGGTGATAGTGCCAACGGAAGATTACAAAACTCTTCAGCAAATCTTCATGGTCCATGCCCCAGGGCATTCTGCCAAGCTTTACCGCATTTCCATGTGTCCATGCTTGGAAGTGCTTCGCCGTGCCTGACCTGCTGTCTCCCACAAGCGGATGCCAGGATGCTCGCAGATGTAGAAGTGTAGGCGTAGAAGTCGTTCGCAAGCTGCGCCAGTGGGTGAGGACGAGACGCAAACGCAGGCACCTTGGGTTCTCAGAGGTGGTGTATCTTTCGCGGCGTGGAGTGAAGCACTTCAGATCCGCCTCCTCGACACAGCCGCCCTTGTCGCCACCGCCGCTGCCACACTACCATCGCTGCCATGCCCAGGGTGGGCACTTCAGTCTGTGCCCGTGCATTGATGCAGACAGAGCCTGGCAAACATGTCTGTGCTGCAAAGTTCGTCTGAGGCCAAAGCTCCTACGAGGAGTGGGATCGTCACATGTTAGCACTTCGCTGCAGCAACGGTCTGGTGCAGGGGTGGTCGTGGCGGCCGCACTGCTGCACAGAAGGCTCAGGCACGGCTTGAAGGAGTTTCGTTCTGTTCAGGGCTTTCAGGGACGTTCTCGAGGCCCGTGGCCGTGGACCGCCAGGGCGTGGTCGAGGCAGAGGGCGCGGAGCTCCTGAGAAAGGCCGCAGACGTGGGGGGGCCTCCGCCCCCCGCGGCCGTGGGAATGGGGGCCGTGGAAGCCGTGGAGGCCGGCCCCCAAACTCAGGGAGAGCAAGCGGCGGAAGAGGAGGCGGAGCAGGGCGAGCAGGACGTGGTGGACGAGGGCGGGGAGGCAACGGACCGGAGACCCTGAAACGGAGCAAGGCGCGGCTGCAGTAATTGGCTGTTACACTAACTGCCACCAGCTGAGCACGGCATAGAGATTTGTTGCATGGGCTTGTGCAGGTGGAGTCTTCCAGACAGTCATCGGTATCGCGGACACAGACGCGAGGACATCACTTCACCAGCAGCGAGTGGGATTGCGTGTGAGTCACGACATAGAGCAGACAGGACGTGGCGTGAGCAAAACCATCTTTTCGCCAAAGATTACCCTCGGCCGACCTAAGTTGCAAAGTCGTGGCCAGGACCTGAATGAGATACGCGTCGTTCACTCTGAGATTAAACAGCATGCCTGCGTCAACGGCCGAAGGATGCCGAGTCCGGCGACAAGAACTCTCGCCTGGCCGCACTGGCTGCATGGAATGCGGCAGCTGATGCAGAACGTCGCGACCCTCAGCATCCTTCGAATAGTATCCCGGACAGAGTATGTAAAGCATCCTAGTGGTTTCTCTCGTGGACTTTCGCGGCCGACCTGGAATATCGAGGCCTTGAGGCATCGATGCGGCGGCGGCACTCGACAAAGCAGCGGGAAATTCCAGCTTTAGGCTGGCAATCACCAGCCGAAGCCGTAGAACCACAAGCATCAGCTTCCGGAAACAGACGCCAGGCCGCGCCATCCGCATTGCCGAGAAGAATGCACCGCGAGGGCACTACGATGCGCCGCAGCCGCATCGAAGAGCTGGAAAGGGGAGAGAGAGAGACGTGCGGGGGCAGCTGACTCGCGACTGCATCATACCTGTGAAACATAGAGAGAAACCCAGACGCCTGCAACCTCAGGTATTGCAACTCCCAAGGAAGGCGACCCCGGAGGACATCCAGCCCTTTGCTCGCAGAAGGAGGTGTTACGAAGTATTTCGATTCACGAGCACTCAAGACGAAGCCTCAGCCTATGTAAGCTTCGACAACTTCCTCCATTAAGGAAGAGTTTCCGCAAGCGAGCTCTTGTAACTCATCCTGACAAAGGCGCGGCAAGAGTCGATGCATATTGATTTGGTGACCTCCAATTAACTGTACTTTGCCTACTAGTTTTCGTTGCGGTGAAGCGAGACACACTGTGAACTGCTTGCACAAGGCTGAGGCCTAAAAGGAAAGGGTGCCACATGCTGCTAAATCCTGGGAACGGCGGGCCGGGCGGGTGCTCCTGACCAGGTGGTCGGCCGGAAGATTTTCAAGCTGTGGTCACTGCTTTTGAAGTGCTGACAAACAGCCAACATCGCGAAGAGTACGACAGGCCGGTGGTCTGCCCTAAATCCAAAACGGGAAAGGTTTCCTCGCTCTCCAGGTGTGAGAACGAATCTTGCACGCCCGTCATGTCCTTTGCGAGAGGTCTCTGAATGCAACGGGCAACACAGACGGAGGCATGTTACAATTGCTTGAAATGGAACAACTTCAGCCAGACGTATGTCAAGTGCTTCCAGGCATGGATGCTGGCTCCTTCGACATGGACGCCGTCACAGACATGGGCAGTGAAGAGCTCGCCGCTCGCAGAGGCATGCCAGCACTTGGCTCCTGCCTTTCAGCATCCCACTTTAAGGTATTGCTTACGGACGCTGAGGGTACCCTAAATGTTTGATGCGTTGAGCTACCAAAGCCTACTTTCTCGTAGGGCCGCTCTCAAGCCTACATTCGGGCCATTAGGATTCATATTGAAAACCTAGACAGAAGGAGGTTTTGGTAGTTTGAAGTAGGGGTTTCAGGCGGTTTAAGGCATAGGGCCCAGTCCGCGGACGTTTGCTTGCGCGATCCAAGGAGCGGTGCGCGAGGCGCTTATCCGGCTGTGCTCTGCGAGCCCAGCAGAGCAGAAGCGGATACTGAAAGAGCTCCAAACAGAGGCGCAGGAATGTGAGAAGCTGAGACAGCCAAGTTCGAAACCTTGTGACTTTCCTCGCAGGTTCTGGAAGAAGCGATGGAGTTTCTTCAGAGTGCTCATGCGGCTGGGATTGTCTAAGATGAAGGTTGGCCAGGAGGGTGTAAAATGTAACCTCCAAGGCGAAGAGCGCTTGGAACATGGAGTTCACTCAGTTCAGGCGAATGCGTGCTTGATTCTGATTCAGCTTGAAGCTATGCGCCGCTATGTACCATGCACCTTCTCCGATCTTCTTGCATGGCAGGAACGCGGAAAAATCCAACAGTCTGTCTATGGCTGGTATCTCGATTTTGGACATGAGTCGCAAGAAAGCTCGGTCGTTGCTAGTGCTTCCTAGACATGCATCTTATCTTGACGGACCTTTTGCAAACCGCTTGCGCCTGGCACACAACTCAGGCATCTATGCAGCTGCTTGGGTATGCACTGGAAATTTTCAGTTGAATGCGTCCAATATGCCGCTTGACGTGCAACTTGGGTGGGTATTGCTACCTGAGGACATGAAAGGCAGATATGCTGTGGAGCTTTCCTGGGAAGGCATGAGAGCCTTGGCTAAATAGAAGCACGTTCGAGCCTCTGTCCGGCACGTGAACGTTTTCTGCTTTGCATGGTGTGGTAGATGGCGAACTTCCAAGGTGTGCGCACGCAGACCACGGTCTCCCTTTCAGAAGCAATTGATTGGCACATCACGCTGACGCAGCTCAAGGAGCGACATCTCTTCAGAGGGGCCAAGTTGCCGAAACTGGCTGCGTGAGTTTTCGGCTTGATGATTCGGAGGCCAGAGCGGTGGACAGAATAAATCTTGGCGGGGGCCCTACGGCTTCTGAGCTCCTACGCTCCCTTGGGATGCCGTGCCACCCGGAAGGGGGTTTGCTGTAAGGTTACAGTCCACAACTTCCTCTGACCCAAGAGGAGCTGGCTGTAGGACACTCGGCTGCACAAGGGGGCGTGGGCTTCGGTCATCTTCGGCCATGCCTTCGGAGTGTTTGTGGCGTGCCTGTCGGCTTGGTTTGCCTCCCCAAAGTATCGGACACACAAGGAAATAGCGAAGCGTAAGGGAAGCATTTTGGACCTTGCCCAAAGCCTCGCCCCAGCACAGGCTACAGGACAAGCCCTGCGATGTACCTCAGCTTCTACTGCACCTTGGTCTGTGTATTGACAAAATGATTCCGGTGCGAACCGGCTGCCTTGCGATTCCAAGGTGACTGGGGCGAGGACGAGGGCAAGCGCCAAACGATCACTCCAGCCACCTCCGATTTGTCATTGGCCATAAAGATTAAGCACCGCAGCTTGGAGATCAAGATGCATGTGGGCTGGCATCCGGCTGCTAGGCTACTCGGAAATCGGAGAAGGACTTCACCCTGTTCAACCCAGGATATGATGACATCTTTGCGCAGGAGGAGGAGGCGCTGGCCGAGGGCGGCAAAAGTTCAGCCAGTGGCCATAAGCAGCTCAGCCTCACATTAGCGTCAGTATCACTATGGAAATTGGTGCTGTTGATGATATAAATCCTGCATTACCTTAAGGACCCCAAACTACGGGAGTTATGGCATATTCCTTCTTATGGGTAATGCAGGATTTCTATCATCAACCGTAATAAGTACTAGTCTTAGTCTTTCTCTTAGCCTTAGTATTCGCACTAGCATTAGCATTAGCATGAGTATTAGTATTAGTATTACTTAAGTCAGTTCCTCGTGCCTTGGCCTTGGCGGCCTTGGCCTTTTGAGCCCAGGCTGCGAGCCTTGAAGCGCGAGGTCTGTGCCTCAGAGCCTTGGGCCTTGCATGCCTCGCCTGGCACGTGCCCTGAAATCATTTTTGAGTCCTGCATGCCAGAAGGTCGCAACATGGATTGAGCAGGAACTTCAGGCCGGATGATGCACTCGGTTCGGAGAGTTTGACAATGGCTTCTGGTTTGGGCTTCACGTCATGTGTACTGAGAGCTCCATAGGACAAGGCACCCAAGATGCCCTATAGCCCTCTAACAAGTTCAACAGCATGTCAATTTCCAACCAGCCGACCGCACACCGCCGGCAGGAAGAGTTTGCAGTCTTGAAGATCATGGCTGCAGAGCTCCGGAATCGGCACAAGAAAGCGGCTGCTGTGCTGTCACCAGTTAGATGTACCCGACCCATGTTTGTGCAGTCTGGGTACGTTTCAGTACCAACTCGCTGCTCACGGTGATCCTGTTGTAGGAGACTGGCATCATGCAACAAGCGACAGCTTTGTAGCCACTCTGGCGCTCCGAGGAGCGTGAAGACTGGAGAGAAGAGGCCCAGAGTGCCATCGAGCTGCGGGATCTGTAGCTCGGCTCCAGGCGGCATCGCTTCTCGGAAATTTTGCCACGAATGTTCTTCTAGAAAAACGCGCTCCTGCTCCAAGGCTTGGCCTGGAAATGACTCTCGGCGAGAAGCTGACAGTTGACAGTACGTGCTCTCGCGGCTTAGACACTCCAAGTTGTCGAGTGATGTGAGCGGAGGACAGGCTTGCATACGTCAGTCGCAAAGCTGAAATACCTGGACACCGAGCAGAAGTCTGCAACGCGGTCACTGCTTGTGGGAAACTCGCCCTGTCAGTATGGACATGAGACACTTTGGAATGACCATCAAACTGAACTGTGGCTGTGCTCGCTCGACGTGATGCAGCTCAGGAGATCTGTCTTTGCGCCTGAAAGCAGGTGCCGCATCTGCAGCTTGATTTCGCCATCGAACCGTTTCGTGTCGGTGTGGTACCCAAAGGACCTGAAAACCAAGCATCGTCGTCTATGGCAGCTCAACGATCGCCTCGGAGCTCGGCGAAGCCCACAAGGGGCACAAAGGAGATTGCCGACATCAAGACCAACGCCGCACTGCCGGCAGAGGTGCGACGGAAACAGCTCAGCCCCGTTCCCGTCTTTTGGCGATAAGCATGGCTTGGGCAGGTTGCGATAGCCCACAGGTTTGGGGTGCTTACCCTATACTATGGCTCTTTGATCCTGATTTGGGACAGGATTTGCATTTGCCAGGAGCCGTTGTGCTCGACGGAGTTGGTCTGACCGGGGCTTTCAAGGAACTGCAAGCTTGAACAGCTTTGATACCTCGGAATGAAGACTCAAGGGCGTCATGATCCCAGGTTCCTACCCACCCAGCCCTCGGAGCCCCCCTTAAATTACCTTAGACCTCGTCTCTAAGGCACGGCCGGGTGCCTCTCAGCCCTCTGGCCGACGCGGCTCTCTGGATCCGGAGGAATGCGTGGAGTACCAGCGGCGCTCCGCAGAAGACTTGCGGAAGGCCATCCTAAGCCCCCTGCTTCCCTCCTCGCAGACAGGGCGTCAGCCTGATGCAGTAATCCGCGCAACGCTGAATCACTCAGCCCTGCCCGGATGGTGTGCACTTCGGGCATGTGCCCGGGTCGTGCGTGTGACCGTGGATGCGCATGTAACCCGGACATTCAAGAACTTCGTCTACAACGAACACTGGTTCCAGCGACTTGGCCTTTTGCTTGCGTCATCTCGGGTGCTTCGCTTTGAAGCACGCTTTGTTCTGTCCCGAGGTGGGAGAACAGCAACTTCTCTCGATTTCCCATGGCGCAGCGCCTGTGCCGCTTCATGTCCAGCCCGACTCACCGGAACCTCTTCTCATACATGGCACCTTGGCTGAAGACTCGCCTTCTTCACGGAAACCTGGCAAGCTGTTGGCAGCCAAGGATCTTGGGAGAGCCCCAGTAGATGCGTTGCAGGACAGAGCACTCGCCGTCGGAGGCTTCGAAGGTAGGCGCGAGCGGTAAGAAAGGCTGCAAGCTGCGCAGTGCAGGACGTGAATGTGCAGACGGCCATCTCACGTATGCCTCGGCTACAGGACAGGACTGAAGACCGGAGTAGAGGTGGGTTGGCTTTGGGATGTGGAAGGACGTGGTCTTCCCGATCGACGGATGGGCTTCCTCCGCAGATCGTTCCCAGTTTCTCTCCTGCTTGCCTCCCGGTGCTTCTGCCTGGGGTCGTCGCACCTAGCGAAAAAGAGCTCAACTCCTTGGAGGAGCCCTGCTGTAGCATAGGACTTGTCTCACAGCGTTGTGAGCCAGCGCTTAAAAGCCTGGGGGCGGTCCGAACATTATTTCGCACGCCGTTCTTCATGACATTGGGAAGAAGATCCGCTTCCGCGGGAACGCCTTTCTACCATGAAGATCTCGTGCCCTGAAATCTGGGGCGACGGTCTGCTTTGAGTACGGGGCCAGGGGGCCGGATGAGCACGAACCAGGACTGCCAACCGAGTAGAATTGTGTAGTTGGAAGTGCAATCCTGACCCTGCAAGCCAGGGTCCTTTGGTTGTCAGTATGAGGCTTCCACATGCTCTCCAGCGAGGAATGCCAAGTGGAAGTGCTGTCAGCTGTGTTCCAAAGCATCATGCTTTTCAGAGTTAATTGCTGCACCTGTTCAGCTGGGAGAATGGACCGTGAGTCTGGTGTCAGTGACGGAAAAGAGCCGGTACTGTACATCTCGCCACACTGAGGCTATCTGTCTGCCTGTCTGTCTGCCTCTCTGTCTGTCTGTCTGTGCTTGCACAAGGCAACAGCTGTGCAGGTGAACAATGAACAGCTCGTGCCTGGAGGTTTGTTTGCTGCATGCGAAGAGCCGACATCACACAACTTGTAGGTCCTATGGGGTTAAGTTTAGACAGCATCGCGAAGCGTCTTTGCTAGTTGAACGCGTTTCAAGTCCCTGAGCTCCCGAGCCCGAAGTCCCGCACTTTTGAGGTCCGGCGCCTTTGGGTTAAAGAGGGCCTCAAGTTGAGCCCGTCGAAGGCGGGCCTTTTCCTGGCTGTTCTGCAAGCTTGATTCAGCTGCACGAGGCCATGGATTTGAACCGCCGCTTTGCAGTGGCGAGCCCAAGCATGCGAAGCGAGCGAAGCCTGATTCCTGGCAGCATCGTCTTTGTTTCTTAGGTTGGGGTCAACCGAATCCTTCGACTGGCTGATCGTGCCTCTGGGGGGGCGGGAAATATCACAAGCAACGAGCGACGCGGCCGCATGTCGTGTTCACATCCGATTAGCGGAGACACTCTTTATCCGCTGCCATGTGCTCACTGCCGGAGAGGCTTGCTTCCCAAGATCTTCCAGCAGAAAACCAAGAGCGCATGCCTGAGAGTTTGCCAAGACCTGCACCAGCGAATCTAACAGACGCACAGGGTTCAGAGCTGTATGAGGCCACTGTCGAAGCAAGAGCTCCAAGCATTTCAGGACTCCTGAAGTGGCAGAGGGCAAAGTGTGCGGGTGTACATATGCGTTGGGCAGAGGAGCTCCGAACAGAACTGGAAGAGCCTCTCAGCACAATTGGAGACTTTAGGACTTTAGCGTCGCCAGCGAGCACGCCACGACTGCCCCGATGCAGGTACATGACAACCCTGAAAAAGCTCGGCATTCGGGACCACCAGGCTGCTTTGCCCTTCTCGCTTGTGGAAGGACTATACGCACTGGTCGGCCTGCAACGAAGGTACCTCAACTTGTGTGGTGGACGGCAGGGGATCTCATTGGCCGATTTATGTACCTCCTGGCAGCTTGCCGGTAATCGGCTGCCTCAGTGTTGGCGACCGAAGCCGGGCCGGCTTGCAGCAGCCGAGGTTTCCATGGCTATGGGAGTTCTGCCACAGCTAATGTGTCACCGTCTGCATTTGATACTTCCCAGCTGCAGAAGAAACATGCGTAAAACAGATGCGCAGAAGTCCAGGTTCAATGTGCCGCTTATGCTCTTGGCGAGCCGTTTTGCCAGCGTCGAGCAGCAAAAGTCGCTGAAATCCTCCAGCGTGAAGTTGGCGGCCAGAGACGTGGCTGCTTCCTGAGACTCTCTCCATCCAAAATGCTGCAGAAACCCTGCGCCACCTCGCTTTGCCAAAGGTTATGTCGTACAAAGTGATCTACGTGCCTGTTGCTCAGTTTTGGGAGGGAATTCATTCCCACAACCGGGGCTTTGCAAGCAGCGCTTGGAGCTTGGCTCCCCGAGGTTGACCTTCATTCCCGTCCTGTATGTGGCTGGGATAAAAAGAGCAGGAGACAGGATGACAGGGTACACGTGTGCTGCGGTTGATAGTCTTAGTCTGTCAGAACTTGAGGTCATCTATGGCATGCTGCTTTGGGTATTCACAGATTGGTGCCTGACCTCCAGAATTCTGATTCTGCACCTCGGCAAAGTCTGCCGAGCTGTTGTGCTGGGAGGAGCTGCAGAAGCTAAGGTTGAGCCTGCCTTTGTTTGCGTTCTGGGGCATGAAGGCTTGCACCCGGAAGTCGACGTGAGTCAATTTACGGAGACGGAGACTAGTTTGGTTGGGTTATGAACTACGACCGTTGAACTGTGACGGAGGCAAGCGAGCAGGGCGTGCGAGCCTACGTGGACATTGTGCCATTGTTCAGGCAGGCTCAAGGACTTCTTGAATCCTACGCGAGTTTTGGATTTGAACCCAAACTACCGGCTGAGGCGTCTCGTGTTACCAGAAGATCGCAAGGAGCAGGATCTCCTGCCTGCGCGGCGTGCCGCTCGCTGGAAACGGGCTCGGTCGATGGGACTGTAAGAAACGGAGCAGGATCCTTTCCCATGGCACTCCGATAATGCCAATGGCTACCATGCTGGGGTAGCTAGTATGCTGGGAGGCTATTGCAAACAGAGCCCCTGCGTGCTGTTTGTCTAAAAGCCTAGAAAAGGAAGCGGTATACCAGTGTAGTACACGCTCTGCATCTGCATGTGACATCAACGGATGAGAGCAATTTTGTGCCACCTGAGGCGCAGCTGCAGCGGCATGTTCACAAACTTGTGACGTGCCTAAACGGGGTGTGTTGGCATTGAGAGCTCTGCTTGTAGCAGCCGTCTCACGCTGGAGGTTGGAACCTTTGGTCCGCGATTAGGTGATCTGTACTATGAGAAGGATGTGGAACGCCTCTCAGATATGCGATGTGCAAGATGCCGAGGCGTGATGCCGAAGCGTCAGTACAATTCGGAGCCTGGCGCAGTTTCTTGACACCGCAACTGAGGACTGGACGAAGCACATGAGTGCCTTCGCGAAAGATGATGCAGGCAGCCGCAGTCCAAGAAGAAAGCCATCGGACCAGAACCAGTTGAAGGCCGGAGAAGACTTCGTACTGATTTTGGGTTTCACTGAAATTCAGCTTCCCATGGCATCTTCTTACAATTTTTTGCTAGATCACCGCCGGCAGAAAACAGAGCTGTGCTTCGTTAATTAGTGGGGTATGGGGTATCGCAATCAAGACTTCCAAGTTCGCACGATGCAAACTGATGGAAGCAGTCTTCCGCAACATGAAATTCCGAGTGTTCAGAAGCAGGAGTGAGCATGCAGTTCCGGATAGGTTTAGTGACTAGAAATACGGCTTCGGATAGTTTTCTCAATCAGGTGACTGGTATTAATGGGAACACCGTGTCGGGCAGCAGCTGTTTGCAGTAGCCGGCGTTTCTTGGCAGCGTTTTTGCTTCTTGATAAGTTTCCAACAATTGACTCTTTTTGCCGGAGGGGCCGCAAGGACAGAAGGGCGGTCTTGAATTTTTTGGGGTTGCATCATTTCATCACGGTGCAAGAGGCAAGCTGTCGTGGTCGCTAGAAGCGTACCAATGTATGTGTCCATGTTGAGGACTTTCTGTACGAGGTGGTTGTCGTGCGATTGACTAGCCGCAAACGCCGCAGGCTCGCTTGACTCCATCGCGAGGAACCTCCACCGATGAGCCAACTCCAGCGCCAGAGTGAAGCTCGGTTGCACGAGCTTTCCCTAGCAGTCCGCCAGCCATCGACGTCTAGCAGTCGAGCTTGCTTTTCCCACTCTTCGGGCCGCTCATAGCATCCAAGGATCTGATCTTGACTATAAGCTGTGCTTCCCGCGGCTTCATGAGTCACGACTGTCCAAGTGCTTGCCCCAGGAGCATGGCCTCTTGGTGAACCCACGGAGTTGTAATCAATTGGAGCTTAGCGTCGATGGCGTCCAAGGTGGTGAAGGTGCTTGTGCTCTGACCGTCCGCATTGTTTCACTTCCACGAGATGTGACGCAAGTTTTAAGTTCCTCGATTAATCGCTCGATTTAGTGCTGCAGAGCTTTTGCCTGGACCCTCGCCTGCCATCAAGTTAAATTTCGTTGCAGCTCCCTTGTAGAATTGGAAATGTTCAACAGGCACTGGCTGCCGAAATTCGTGGACAGGATGCCGAACTCCAGTCAAGATGTCTGGAGACGCCGAAATTCCACCAGCATAGTGTGACTGGTATGTGGAGGTCGTTCCACATGAGGCCTCCCCTTCTCAAAAGGGGGCGAGAGGACAGTTCTTTGCAGGTCCGAGTGGCAGAAGCCAAAAAGAGCTTGGCGAGATGATGTGTGCAACTTCGAAAGACTGTGCAGTGACACGCTTGTCCTGAGCAGGCGCCCAGGCCCCTCGCTGCGGTCGCTGCGTAGATGAGGACGCAGGTGCTCTATGGCACCTTCGCGGTCGCCTGCTTGCTTCTTGCCTCAGATACCTGCAGGCTGCAGACTAGCAGCAGGCCGCTACTAGACCAACCTGGATAAAAAGCATCCTGTGCTGAGGCTAGTCTATTACAAGCTCGAGGCAAGGAATCGGGCGGCTTTTGTCAGCCAAGTGCTTGCGGCAGTCTCCAGGCACCTGCCAATGCCGCCTATGATGCTTGGCTAGAAACAACTCACGCTACAATTGGCGCTTGCCTGTTGTTTGGAGCAAACGATCCCTGGCCCCGGCTGACAAGGACTACTGGCTCACGCTGGCTGCAGGTTTGCAGGTGCTGGGATTCACAATGCTTGCCCTCGACACCAGTAGCAGTGCAGCCGAGGCCAGCACCCGAGATATAGTGGCTCCAGCTCGCCAGTTTTCGATCTTGCATGTCCCATGTCCGGGCAGGGCCTGAGTGAAAAGACGCTCTGGGCAGCGGCCTCGGAGATTTTGTTGTTGCACTTTCGGGAGCTTTGCCCTGAGTCAGTCAGGCGTTTATCATTGCCCACGTCACACGTATTTCCACGACCGTGTGGGGCGAGGGCTACATTCCAGAGGCAGGGGTGACGTATCTCGCTCCAAAGCCGAACACGAGCCAGCGCAGATGCATGGATCCGTGGAGGACAACACTGGAGACGTCTTCTTGTACCAGGGTTTGGAAGTACTCGGTGTGCTTGTCGTCACATTCCAGGCCTGGAGCTCCGGAATGTCTCGTGGCATGTTTGAAAAGATGCGGCTGCTCCAGGTGATGCGCCTGTCTGCGGTCCGCAGCTCGCAGGACGTCGGACAGGGCATCGAACGATGGAGCCAGCTTATTGGCATGAGAAGCTTGCCTGCAATGTGCGCTCGCGATGACCTTCGCCTGCCTTATGTCCTGCAACGGAAGCGAGATGCGGGACACGGGGGAAGGTCATGAGGCTGCAAGGGGAGGAATAGGCCAGGTGCTATGTCAGCTATAGGCAGCTAAGTCGGCAGGTATGTGAGCAGCTGGGTGTGGAGCAGCGTGATACATGCCACAACATTCGATTGTTTAGAGCTGGGGGTAATCATGAATGGCTCATGTACATGCAGGTCATCATAGCAGCACAGCTCGTCACAAGTGCAGATTCTAGGGCGGATCACGGTGACAGAAGCATGAGCCGTGTGTTTGTCGCTGTCATTTGGAAAGCTCAGGCGTTTTGGCGGCCATATTAGCGTACCTCAGACGCTCTTATCGAGAAACCGGAATGAGCCCCGCAGCAATGCAGAGGTTGCTATATGTCGCATGTGAAGGTTTTTCACGAAGAGCACTGGCCATGACGACTATTGGGCAGATATAAGTTGCAGAGCATGCAACAAGCTGTGTGTCTGTGTCTGTGTGTGTGTGATCTTTGCGTACAAAGTCTCCTTTTCCAGCCGAGCGTCGAACTACGGGCATCTCGCTTGGGCCGGTAAGGTTGGATGTTTTCGACGTGGATGGAAGCGTTTGCTTTGGGCCCGCAGGTCGGACAAGCCTCTTTCTGAAGTTTCTCTTCTGGCTTGCACGAATTAGGCCTTAGGCCAAGCCAACGACAGTCAGGTCTACTTGCTGGTCACCGGTGCCTGTGCCGTGGACGAGAGTGCTGCGCACTTCGCAGGTCTCACGCTGCTTCGTCGAGCACCATTTCCCGTCGCACGTATGTTGAGCATAGATGTCACGACCTGATGAGGGACTAAGGGACTGTATGGTGAGGCTTGATTCGACGGAAAAACTACCCTGACACGCACCCCAAACTCTGAATCTCGCCCCCAAAAGCTGGAGTCTACGGTGGACATGGGAGCCAAGGCTTGCCTCTTCTGTAGTCTTCACAGCCTTCTGGGGCAGAGTCACTCGTGACCGTTCCACGGCTACGTTCGGGAGACATATTGCTGTTTCGAGTAGATGCAAATTGTATCTTTTCCTGTTTCGTGCATGCCTCGAGAAGCTAAGGATACAAGGAGTTCGACCAAGATGGTGACCATACGCAACCTGCTGGCACTCTTCCACACGACCTGTGGCCCTCTCTACCAGCAGAACTGCTAGCAGCGCACAGTATCGATTGGGGCTGGACCTTACAAGCAGAGCTTCAGCCAGATCTTACCTGAGTGTAGAGATGACGAGCATCCAAGTAGGAAGTGTATTTTCAACAAGTGTTTGCATCTATACATCTGTTGCTGTCCCTTTGTCCCTCGGTCTCCCTCTCTCCCTCGCCCCCCGTGATGCTCATACTCTGCACGATCGCCGAGGTTTTTCCACGCAATTCTCACTGCATGCTTTATCCGAGTTGCTCTGTGCCGCCCTTGGGGGAGATGCTTGCGAGACAGTGCTATCGCCCACTTTCCAGCACGAGCAGCAGCGTGAACTGAAGATCTTGCAAGGTGCACAACATACGTGTATCTCTTTACGAAGCAGCAGAGCCCTGAGAACCATCTTCTGCTTTGCAAGTCATGTCCTCGCTTGTACATCTTTCTCCGGCTGCAGGACAAAGAGGCGGCCCGAGTATGAGCTTTGTGCCCATGATGAGCTGTGAGCGCAATCATGTGTGAGACTGCGCGAGAAGCGCTGGGTTCATCCGGGACATCCGTTGAAGTAGTGCTCAGGATGTAGTTGGAATCGAGTCTGCAGTGCCCATGGTGGCATTGACACCTGGACAGCTGTTGTCAGGTTTGCTCGGTGCAGAGTAGCCCTTGCAAATGGTGAGCAAAACACGGCCCACCATTGCCGAGGAGCTTCCGTCCTTGGCAGATACAGTTTACAGGAGCATAGATGTGGACTAAGCAAGCATGAGAAGCCACGGTATCTCCTCTGCCTCTGCATAGATGCCTTGAAAGCATGTGGTGCGAGGGATTCCATGTTTCTGGCGCGCAAAGACCAATGCCGTAAAGTGCAGACGTTAGCACTTCTCGGTAAAAAGCAGCCGCGGCCTCTCGTCAGCGTATGCTGGCCTTTAAAGGTGCAGGTCACGTGGTACACTGCATTCAGTATACCACAGCTTCGTCTCACAGGTGCCTAAGCGTTTGATGACAGGATCGAGCGCTTTTGTACGGCAGATGTGGTGGAGACTCCGCAGTTCCACAGGCTGCCGGCTCCTCAACACCATAGCACGGAGTCCACGTGGGGTTTTGCCCGCTTGCTCGTTTTATGAAAACACGAAGACCCAACTCCGTCTGCTTTAGTACTTGTCTGTTTTCGTGTCCAGACCGGCCCTGTGCCTGCCGTAAGTTGCGGTGTCATGAGACAAAGACAACCGCCCGCCGGACTTGGGTGGAGGGCTGGATTGCTGCTGGATGTCGCGAGACCAGGGGAAGGATGTTCATCAGGCTGCACTCCACCTTGACCGGAATGCCATCGCACCCTACATGGCACCAAGCTATCCTGTTACGCAGTTTGATCTGCTCCGGGGCTGCGCTGTCGGCGCGTCTTCACAGCTGACCTTGGATGCCCTGTTTAGCCGACTCCCGAATCGGTCATTCCAACACTCTGCACAAAGGCCTGCGGGCATCAGCATGGACAACGTGCACTGGATACCTGGAAGCTTGGGCCCCAGGAGACTCGACACTGTGGGCCGTCTTGGGAAGGTACGTAGGTGCCTTATACGGGAATGCAGGTGATGATTGGCATCAGCGTGTCGAGCAACTGATTGACGTGCTCCGCGAAACCCCGCGGAAGCGGTGTGCTCGGGGTTGAGAGTGTGCAGGGGTTTCTGAAGCAGATCCCCAGTAAACTGCATTGCGATGTATGCTTCTGTTTCGAGGCGGACGCTGATTTTCGTCAACAGCTCCTTCCTCGGAGTACGCGGGTCTGGCTTGCCCTTCTGAATGCAATTCAACTTGTGAGGCCTTCACAACTGCCATGTGCTGTTGCACTTCTTTCGCGACAACGGATGGCCGGTGGTTTTCTCCTCAGTCCCAGCCGTACCGTCACATCTCTGTTCCCATGTGTGGACGACCCGACGCAAGGTGAGCTTTATGAAGGGACCTCGTGGTCGAATGGGGCTTTGAGCTTGGGCTCGGGTTTGCATTGCTATGATGCCACTCTTCGGCTTTCTTGCTATGACAGCTCGGCAGCAACCGAAACATGCACGAACAAGAGGAACCCAGCCATCGTTCTGAGCAACTAGTCCGCCGACTGCAGCACGGTATCAGCCAAACACTGAAATGCGCGACCACCAGAAAATGGACCCACGAGCTTGGAACATCATGTCTACTACTGTACTGTCAAATGATCTTCGGGGAAGACATGGTAGGCACGGCGCTGCAGCCTTGTGCAGCCATGCTGCGTCTGGGCTTGTTCACACCAGAGGCCGGATCGTACTGCAGTCACATGACGGACGCGATGGGTTGTGAGACGCCTCCCGTGAACATTGTTGGCCGCGTTCTTGCAGTTCCTTTCGAGCAACGTCGACGCCTTCATGTTTGCTGGGTTAGTTCACTGTCGTTGATGGGTTCTTTGGATATTGGTTTGAATGCCGATGCGGGCATAGCTGTACCCGAATTTCAGACACAACCGAACTTTCGAGGATTTCTGCCATGAGTGTGAAAGTGTTTGCGTACATGTCCACCATCGTGGAGAACCTTTGGGGGTGGCTGTCGACTAACGGCGGATACCGGCGGTCACGGCTGTTGTATCTTGGTCCGTGATTCGCGGTTGGAGGGCTCAAGTTTGATGCTGCCGCAAGCTTGTCTCGCTTTTAGGGGCCTTGGTGCCCTCTTTCCCATGAGCTTCTATGGGAAAAGGGAATGGCGGAAATAGGAGTTTGGCCTTGTTTTGTGGAAGGCGGCGCTTTACCGATGAGCTTGGCACGGCAGATAAGAGCATTGAAGGCAGGGCCAGGGCTGTCAGGGATACCTTGTGCTCTCCACGTTCCCTTTCGCATCTGAAGAGAGCGACTTGTTGGTGAAGCGGGATAATTGGAGGGTTTCCAGTAGGGTGCAAAGAGTGGTAACGGGCCAGGAGAAGCTGCAGCACAACCCCAGGACAGAATATGGCAGTACTAAGACTACGACAACCCTGTGACGATATTGTCAAAAATGATGGGTTGAGCCCTGAGCGCTGAAACCTTAATCAGCTAACAATCGAGAAGTGTACAAAGAGAACAACAGATTAACAAAAGCAACCAAGCTCATTTCAACTCGGCCTGTAACTATCCCGATGTGACTACTCGTCGTTTAATCTCCAAGTGGAAGACTCTCAAAGGACACTGTCTGTCCAAGGGCTTGTGGCCATTTGCTCATTGGTTCCTCTCTGACAAAATCTTCAGTCGCCCAGCAAAGCATTCAATGGAAAGTTCACTTTTCTGCTTCCCGACTGTCGACACGGTTGTATCGTGCACCTCTTGTTCCCACCAACATGCAACCAACTAGCAGAATCCTTTTCCTCATCGCTTAAATTTAGATCTTCTGGTACCCGGCCACTCTTCTTTAATATGATTACACCTGATTAACGATACTGACTTTACCTGTTTTAGTACTGTATTGGGTCCTGTTCTAAACCCTAAACCCGGAACCCCCGAAAAATCCAAGTCACCTCAGAGCGTTGCAGCAGCCGAGTGATGACACTCATGCCGCTGCCACTCTCGGGAGTTATCCCATTGCGATGTTGGTGATATGGAGAGAGAGCATTTCCCGTGGGATGCGATGCCTCTTTCATTCCAGTCGACATCTTGCCGCGAGTAAGTTTGAATTTGAGACTTCAATGCCTGCATGTGGTGAGCTTTTGAGCAATGCTAAGAACTGCATGATGCTGGAGCGGTGTGTCGTGCGTCAGTTGAATGCCTGAATGCGGGAAAGCTCTGACGGTTTCTGTGAATGTACAATACATGTCAACAGAATGCCGGTACACAGTCCGAGAAGGACTACAGAAACTCTGATCTCTGGGTCATCAAGTCACCTAGGGCTGGGAGTCGCATAATTGGCTTTGAAACCTATAAGCCTTTTCAGCTGTTCAACCAATTACCCTGCAATGCGGGCCTCGTCCTTGCTATGTAGGAGGGGAAAAGCCCTAAACCGGATTGTCCGAGCGCGAGAGCGCCGAAGCCCTAAAAAGCTGGCGCCGCTCGCGTGTGCGAGGCCTCCAGCAGGTGGTTCAGGAGCGAACCTGAGCCTCGGCCCAAAAGGCGCAGCTTTGAAGAAGTCTGGCTTCCCTCGTAGCTAGTGGTGGTGGTAGTCGCAGTAGTAGTTTCAGTAGCAGTAGCAGTAGGAGTAGCAGTAGCAGCAGTAGTAGTAGTAGTAGGAGTAGTAGTAGTAGTATGGCTCAAGTTTGGGCTCGAGCCTCTATTGACGTTGTCGCTCATCGTGTCGTTTGGAGACCCAAAGAGACCCCGGTCTGCCCTTCTCTTCTCTCCTCCTCTCTCTCTCTTTTTTCCTTCACGCACTGTCTTGCCTTGCACTGACTGCTTCCTTGCCTTGCCTACTGACTGATTCCTTTCCTTGCACTGACTGCCCTTGCCTTGCCATGCCTCGAACGGAAGCTACTGAAGCTACGGAAAGAGGACGAGGGAGAGAGCGAAGTCGCGGGAACCGGGTAGAGGAAAGGTCCGAACGAGCCAACGAACGAACCCAACTGCCTAGGGTAGGACACATAGTCGGAAGCCACCACGATGTGCTTGAACAGGGCCCCAGGACTGAGTCTGCGCGACCTCCCAGTTCTGACCCTGGAGCCCGAAGATCGCCCGACAACAAGAAAATCAAGCTAGAGCCAAAAGAACCCGATGATACCCAGCCCGACTCAGACATGCCCGATCAAGCTTCCGTGGTCAATCCCTTTCTCAGGCTCGACCACAGTTCGGCCTTTCGGCCCCACGAAATGTTTGATCTCACTTCAGGAGATGACGACGAGCTCAACACAAGCAGGCCCCCTGAGCAGGTGCCAGGACCGGGAGGGAATGCGCCCGGCCACCCGGAATCTACTAGACCTTTTGCAACCCTTACGGAACAGGCACCCCCACCCCCGGCATGGATCCAGGACATTGTAGAGAGCTTGAAGGGACTGCACATGAAGAGTGACCAAACCCATCGTTATTGCCTAGACCTCGGAGCTACCGTAGGGCAACATGATGTCAGGCTTGAAACCCTCGAAAGCACGGCGAAGTCACACACGGAACAGCATGAAGCTACAGATGCCAGACTCTCAGCCCTTGAGAAGGTTGTAGGGGACCTCGAAAGAAGAGCAAGATCGGTCACCCCCCCTCGAGGGGGTGGTGACACACCACGAGGGTCTAGAGCAGGAAACATCAGCCCTCGCAGCCCCCGTGGGGGCCCGCCACTGGACGTTTTTCGTGACCCGGCTCAGGACTTAGGCCTGGTGGTAGGAGGCTGGACCGACGCGAAAGTAGCTGAGGCGGAGAGAGAGGTTCAGAACCTGTTCACGGAAGCAGGCTTCCAAGGGGCCATCCTCGATTTCTCGGGGCCTTCGGGACGCACCAACTTTTTGAGAGGCTTGGGGATCACGGAACTCGGTAAGAAGCGCGCATACCAAACCCAGATCTTGAACAAACTCAAGTCCCTGAAGGCCAAGAGCGGCATCGTAGGACAGGAAGACGCCAACTTATGGGTCCAGCGCGATCGCTCCGTTGAGGAGCGACTCCGCATCCGCGCCATAGTGCTGGCCAAGAATTTCTACAACGCACTGCCCCTTAAGGATGACAGCCACACCAGGTAGCCGGACCCGGAGATCGTGTGGCGGGGGCAATTGTTCGTAGGGCAGGTCAGAACCCTTAAAAACATGGATGATGGCCATGAACCCGCAGCCTATGACCAAATCATAGAAGATGTTAAGGGCAACCATACCGTATGGTTCCTATGCGCTGAATCGTTCGCCAAGATCACGGGACGCGACAAGGAGTCCCTTCAGCAGATGAGCAGATGTGGCAGGACTTCGGACCCAGTGCCACTCCCATGAGAGACCGCGCTTGACAAACCACGGCGACACGAAGGGCAGGAGGACGAGCAGACTTGCATGCCATTTCTTGGAATTTGAGGGGTAAAAGTCTAGAGGATGTTGCCCGCACTTAGGATGTTCTTGGTTTTCAGGGATCCCATGTAAGTGGATTGCAAGAAGTAGGATCACTCCCGCAACAATGCGCCACGCACGACTCTGTACTGCACCACGAAATCAAACTAGCAGGACAATCCTACACCTTTTTCTTTTGTGACCCCTCACACTCGTGGAGGGGGGCTGCCTTAGGCATCCCCACTGGCTGGCTTTGCCAAGTCGAAAAGACGAAGGCCTTTTGCACGGGTCTGGGGGTGGTACTCCGGGACCAGGGCACCCGAAGATTTCTGGCAACTGTCCACATGCCCCACTCGCTACGTAAGGACCACATGCCCGTTTGGCAACAACAAACCGAAGAGGTTTTGCAGTTTATGATAATCGCAGGTATCATGACACCATTTGCTTGTGTTGTGATCTTAATTATGACATTTTGGACATCGTCAATGTTGACGAGCGAGGCGTGCCCTTTGGGCAGCTGCTAAGGACGTTGAACCTCGAGCACACACGGCCTTTAGAGCCGACGTGGCACAACACCACGGGGTCCGCTTCCAGGATCGATTTCATCCTCTTTGCCATGCCATCGCTCGAGTGTCGAGACGACCGAGTGGTGTCCGGCTCAGATGATGTCATAGGCTCGGATCACTGTGCCGTCAGCATCGCTTTGAGATCGTGCCTTCATAGCAAAGGGCGCAGTTCCTTCAAACCCTCCAAATGTGGTAAGTGGTGGACTGATGGGCCTGCCCTACAAACGAAAGCCGAAGCACTTGCTGAGCGATTGGATCTCAACATGGAGGATCTTTCTATGCAGGACTTGGAGGGCCTGTGCGAGGCAACCTCCAAGCGAGTGACGAGCTGTAGGTATGTTGACTCACCAGCCATCAAGGACATGATCAAGGCCCGTAAGAAGCTACGCGGTAGAGAAGCCCAACAGATGGCTAAGACCATTGCTGACAGGAGGAAGACGGACAAGAGAGAGTGGCTAGTCAATCTCCTCGAGCAGAGTGCAGCG